CCCCAACAGTATCTTGCAAACTGTTAGATGAAAGAAACTCAAATTATTATAAGTTTAGGAGCTGAACAAAATACAAAACAAATTATAATTAAGAATTCTTTTGGTATTAGTTAACTTGGTTTAGTTGATTTTCTTTCAAAGGTCAACTATTCCTATTACATAAATTACTTCTCAAAGTTGACATATTTTGTTATGTCTCATTTGCTCTTTTCATTACTCTATAAGAAAAAGTAGGCTGGGGATTCTCAATAAGTTAGTAGGTACATTTAATCTATTGAATGGATGTTAAATTTTGTTATTTCGATCCGTAATACACCCATGTCACTAATTTCTACCTCTCTTAATTGATCAATATAGTCTCTCTGTAAAATTATTAAAATTAGATTATTACTCAATCTCAGGAGATGGAGATGGATGCATGTTTTATTTACAGTGTAATACTAATATTAAGCATTATAAGTATTAGATTTTGGCTTTGGAAAATCTCATAATGTTATATATACACCAGCCTCGAGTTCTTTTATTATCTTCTCAATTATCTTCTAAGTATCTGCCTCATTTATACATATATCTTCACTATTACTAATTGAGAACATTTTTGATAATTTCTTGGCTAAATTTGGTTATGCCTTTCTGTCTCTAATTATTGTTGTTCTTAAGTTATTATTAAATTATTTTTCTTTAGATTTGTATAATTTTAAATAATTTTGAATTTCTACTTTTAGATTTTCAACTTTAAACCAAAATAGTACCTTGAATAAATTTATAAAGTAAGTACCACCACTTCTTTAGATTAATAATTCATCCTAAAGAAAATTCAATTTATATTCTTTCAAGATTTTTTTGTTGTCATATGTGTGATACTAGTCATCAATTTATTTTGAAACAAGTTAGCAATTAATAAAATTTTTGTATATGTCCTCCATACTATTAAATGTTGAAATATATTTTGTTTAGCAAAAGCAAAGAGGGTAAAAATTAATTTATTTTATAAGTTCTAAAATTCAATTTCCTTTCATGAATAAACTCTTTAGGTATAAAACATAAGAGGTTATAACGCAGAAAGAATTTTATTGTTGGATGTGGTTAAATCATATGAAATATATTAATAACTTCTAAAGTGTGATTTTAGAAAGGTAGAGTAAAGTTCCTCTTTATAATGACTATCCTTAAGTAAAAATAAATAAAAGAATTCTCTCTTCTACCAGATTCTATTATTCATATTAATATTTATAACTAAAATCTATTGAAAGTCTAATTTAAATGTTTTGGAAAATTTTGCATTCAGGCTTCATAATGTTTTGAATTTATATTTCTATTAAAGATTACTGCAATAATTTTAGGAAAATTTTTTAACCTAGTCTAAGGTGAATTTCAATGTTGTTTCTATTATACTAAACCGAAATTTGATTTGATTAGCAATAATACATCTATACTTTATAGTTTATAAATTCACTTTTCATGATTAAAGCTCCATAGGCATCCAATATCAGATATTGACAAAATTGAAGTATTTTTATGAAGAATTATAGCTAAAAAAATTAAAATAATTACTATTTTGTAAAATGTGACCAATTGAGCATAATTTTACCCTGCCTTAAAATACTATAAACGGATAAGTGATCATAACTCCTAGGTGCTAATTAAATACCAACAGGAGAGAAAAAGACTGACGAGACATAACTAGCATGACCATTTAATTTCGCTTTCTATTCTTTTGTCTTCACATAAACTGATAGAGGTATCATAACCACCAGATGCTAACTTATTCCTGCTAGAAGAGAAATTAACTGAATAAACTGCATCTTCACGACCATCAAATTTTGCTTTTTATTATCCTGTCTTCACATCTTATTAACTGATAGAATAATCACAACTACCAAATGCTAATATAATACATCAGGAGAGAAATTGACAGAAAAAACCCAACCTGAATGACCATAATTTTTCTTTATACACTAATAGAGCAATCATCACTACCAGATGCTAATGTAATGCCATCAGGAAAGAAACAGACTACACATGATTAGTTTGGCCATCTAATTAGCTTATTATTATCCTGTTTTCAAATCCCAAAGACTGAAAACTTCCAAAACTACTACATGCCAATATTGTATTATCAGAGAAAAAAAGCATGAATTAATTTATTTGATTTAACCATTTAACTTGGTGTTTTTATATCCTGACTATGTATCTGATAAACGAATAGAATTAATCACCACCAGATGCTAAAGTAGTGCCATCGGTAGAGAAGTATGCCGAGTAAACTGTTACATAATGACCTTTTAATTAGAACCTTTATTATTTTTTGCTCACATCCTATAAACAGATAGAGCTATCATTACTACCAAATGCTAATATCTTATTATCGGAGAGAAACATGATGAATAAATATAGACACTATTATTATTGATATTTATTTTCCTGTTTTAAGATTCCATATATCCAAAAATTTTTCACAGAGTATTTTTGACCGTGCTCCTTCGTTTTATTATAATTTTTTTATTTCCTCTATTCATATCCCACAACCTAATCGAACTATCATCACTGCAAGAAGCTTAATGAAGTGTCATTTGGAGAAAGCACACATTATTGACACTATCACTATGACCATTAACTTATTCAACTCATTTATTTTTAGATTCCTCCATTTAGAATGGGTAATTTCGCTCCATTCAAATTCATTCCGCTATTAATGACATTGTCAAATCAAAATCACTTAAGTCACATCTGGCTAAATTTGCTCATATTAGTGAAGTATTTCTTATTCTAATATTTACAAAAGATTCTTCTCTCAAATCTACCTTCATTTAAACTAATAAATGAAGAGAATTTGATCCATACAAAATGTGTTCCTCACCTAAGGCAGTAGGATGAACTAAAAATTTTTAGTAATTCTATGAGGATATATTGTGATAAGATCTTATTTAATTTTCTTCATATTCTTTTATTGAGTAAATCAGTTGATTAAATTCATGATCCTTATGTTAGAACATCTGTTATTCACTTTATAGTATTTTTTTAAAATTGATAATCTATAACCCCAACAGTATCTTGCAAACTGTTAGATGAAAGAAACTCAAATTATTATAAGTTTAGGAGCTGAACAAAATACAAAACAAATTATAATTAAGAATTCTTTTGGTATTAGTTAACTTGGTTTAGTTGATTTTCTTTCAAAGGTCAACTATTCCTATTACATAAATTACTTCTCAAAGTTGACTTATTTTGTTAAGCCTCATTTTCTCTTTTCATTACTCTAAAAGAAAAAGTAGGCTGGGGATTCTCAATAAGTTAGTAGGTACATTTAATCTATTGAATCCATGTTATATTTTGTTATTTCGATCCGTAATGCACCCATGTCACTAATTTCTACCTCTCTTAATTGATCAATATAG